AGGGATGGACAGAGGGAGGGATGGACAGAGGGATGGACAGAGGGATGGACAGAGGGAGGATGGACAGAGGGATGGACAGAGGGATGGACAGAGGGATGGATGGACAGAGGGATGGACAGAGGGATGGACAGAGGGATGGACAGAGGGATGGACAGAGGGGGGATGGACAGAGGGATGGACAGAGGGATGGACAGAGGGAGGATGGACAGAGGGATGGACAGAGGGAGGGATGGACAGAGGGATGGACAGGGGGGGTATGGACAGAGGGATGGACAGAGGGAGGGATGGACAGAGGGATGGACAGGGGGAGGATGGACAGAGGGATGGATGGACAGAGGGATGGATGGACAGAGGGGGGATGGACAGAGGGATGGATGGACAGGGGGAGGGATGGACAGAGGGAGGATGGACAGAGGGATGGACAGGGAGGATGGACAGAGGGATGGACAGAGGGAGGGATGGACAAAGGGACAGGGAGCAGAACACCAGGATGTGAAGGCTGACTTTGGAATTTCTGGAGCTGTTTCCCACACTCGGGAATTTGTGGTGATGGAATGCTGGGGGGAGCTCTGGGGTGCTGCCTCAGCCTGCCCAGCATCCTCCTGGCCCAAGGACACAAAGTCCAGCACCTCTCCCTAAGGCAGGGCTCAGCCACCCCGGAACCATCGTGGAAAGATTCGGGTGGGAAGGGACCTCAAACCCCCCCAGTGCCACCCCTGCCACGGCAGGGACACCTCCCAGTGTGCCAGGCTGGCCCTGGGCACTGCCAGGGATGCAGGTTCTGTGCCAGGGCCTCCCCAAACCCCCTCCAAGCCCAGCAGCTCCCTGCACACCCCTGGCAGTCCACGGGGTCTCTGGGACCCCTCAGCCCTCCCTGGCTGCTGCTCCCCCCTCACAAAGCCCCTGCAGGGTCTCAGGGCCATCCCCTGCCTGCTCTGTGCTGGATGAGCCCTCCCAAACCAGCCCAGGGGAGGAGGAAATGAAGGAACAGCTCCTTTTGTGTGGGGTTTATTACATAACAAACCCCTACCTGCGGCTCTGGATTTATTATTCCAATCTAAATAACATCTCCTGCTGCCTCTCCCTCCTCCTGTGCTGCCAGGATAAGGATCAACCCCCTGTTCCTTGGGAGGCACTGAGCAAAGGAGAGGAAAAACCGACTGCAAAATGCAACAGCTGATAATGAACAACAACATTCACAGCACAGAGTGGAGAAGTGGGGGTGGAACAGCCCCAGAAATGAACACAGCGAGGGCAGAAATGGGGAAAACAGAGTTTAGCAGGAGCTGCAGCTCCTCCACGACTCGGGGCAGGGCTGGAGCTGTGCCAGGGAATTTGGGATGGATTTTAGGGAAAGG